AACCAGAGGAAGGAACCACCCAGAGGGAGGGACCACCCACACGGAGGGCGGGGCTTTCCACAGACAGGGAGGAACCACCCAGAGAGGGCGGGGCCGCCCACAGACAGGGAGGCGCCACCCACCCAGAGGGCAGAGGCTGCAGGAGCTGGCCCTGGGCAGGCGGGCACTCACTTGAAGTAGTAGCCAGCGGGCTTGAGGAAGGAAGCGGGCTCGTTGGCCACAGACCACATCACAACGGCCGGGTGGTTCTTGTCCCTGCGCACCAGCTCCTCCATCACCTCCAGGTGGTGGTGCAGAGATGTGTTGCCAAAGCTCTCTCTATAGGCGGGAAGGGGAAGGAGCGTGTCACCGCAGGCCAGGCCAGCTCAGGCGGCCAAGTGGGCATGCAGGCGGACACTCACACCAACACGATGCCCACGCCGGGGCACTCGTCGATGACCACGATGCCGTAGCGGTCACAGAGCTGCATCACCTCCTCCGCGTACGGGTAGTGGCTGGTGCGGAAGGCGTTGGCGCCCAGCCAGCGGAGCAGGTTGAAGTCCTTCACCAGCAGGGGCCAGTCGAAGCCCTTCCCTCGGACCTGGGGCAGCGGGCACGGTGGGGACGGGGTCTCAGTGACACCTGTGCTTCCAGTGCCAGAAACTCGCCCCAGACCACAGTCCGGCCCTCACACAGGCCACAGGTCTGGGGTGGTCTGCACCTGCTCAGGGCTTTCCCCGACCTGGGTGCATGGCAGGTCTGTGACCAGCTTAGGGGCTGTCCCCCACCGGGGTGCGTGGCAGGTGTGCAACCGGCTCAGGGCTGTCCCCCACCGGGGTGCATGGCAGGTCTGTGACCGGCTTAGGGGGTGTATGGCAGGTCTGTGACTGGCTCGAGGCTGTCCTCCACCGGGGTGCGTGGCAGGTCTGCGAATGGCTTGGGGATGTCCCCCACCGGGGTGTATGACAGGTCTGAGACCGGCCCGGGGCTGTCCCCCACTGGGGTGCGTGGCAGGTCTGCGACCGGCCCGGGGCTGTCCCCCACCGGGGTGCATGGCAGGTCTGTGACCGGCTTAGGGGGTGTATGGCAGGTCTGTGACCGGCTCGAGGCTGTCC